GTACTTACATTTCAATTTCTAATTTTGACCCTAGGGTGAGCTAAATAAAACAGTTTAAAAAGACTTAAACGACATCACCCTCAAGACCTACCGGACCGGATTTTGACATAGCTAATTTACCAGCCGCATTATACATAAGTATCGAAAAAATATTGAACTTACTTCCTGCCCTAATTAACTCTTAGACTTAGTATTATATTATATTATACAAACAGATTAGATTAAGCTGCCAGTTTGGTAACAGTGTGCTTATCATTCGAATGAAATTTCCACATTTATCAATAAATCAAAAAAAATAAAAAAAAATAAAAAACGCTCTCACTCACTTGTATATTATACTCGTAGGGAGTATGCGGTAGAGGTGGAGAAACATCGATGCCAACATCGATGACATCGATATTTTTGAAACATATGCAACACCGTGCAACATCGATGTTTTTCCATCTCTAATCTCTAAGGCTCAAAAAGGAAGATTGACACATTGTAAGTACATATTATCACTAGCTGACCCGGCAAACGTTGTTTTGCCACCAGAAGGCTTTATAATTTCTGTACAAAATGCACTCTGTTCTAGACTTATGTATTGTAAAGTCATCTGAAGCGCTGTGAACCATGAGGGAATATAAAAATAACAAAAGGCAAATATTATTTTTAAGTTATTATAATTGCGTCTGGCGAAAAATGATTCAAGGTTATTATAATCACAAAGTGCATTCTAGTGATTGGCAAGTGCGCTTCCGGAATCCTCGCCGCCCATAAAGTAGATTTGTAAGAATTTATGTTGTTCATTTGGCATTGGCAGCAGTGAGCTCATTTTATGATAAACTTGGCCTCTAATTTTGAATGTAGAATTGTAATTTTGACCATTTGCATTAGTATTTCGAACTATTTCTGTTGCTCCGAACGATGTCATTTGAAAGCATGAATTAAATGTTCGAATTGACTTCAGGAACACGTTAGAATCTGGATCCGTGCCGATAAGTAAGTCGTTCAATGGTTCAGGTGGTGTTTCAATTTCTGGTAGTTGCACTTTTCCTGACGCGCAACACATCCCAACTGGCTCATTTTTAAATTTCAGAGCATGACAATGCGGACATTCCTTGTCCATAGCACCAATTACCACTTTTGAGTGAGCATAATACTCAATATCGGGCTCATACTGGAATGCTAGATGCAGTAATGATATAAATGCTCGATGTACCTGTTGTCGTTGATAGTCATTTGTTCTGCCTCTATTGACTGTGACACGGCGTGATGGTCGTTGTTCTAATCTTCTGACTTCATTGCGTTCTGCTCGTGTTTCTTCTGGCTCTTCTTGATGCAATTGCGCTATTCTGACACGTACATCAGTATTTTGTTGCTGGATTTGTTCTTCGATTCATTCGGATCTTCTATTTCGCATGTTTCGAGATCTACTTGAATCATGGCTCAAATCTTCCCCTTTGCGTCTTCTTGGCATTGCTCACTGGACAAAACACTCATAAATAGAATTAATGTTTTTACTTAATGATGAATGATTTTTGCCGCAGCATAACTTGATTTAAAATGCTATGGTAGCGTGTTTTTGTCAGTGTGATGAGGTAGTAACTCACTTTATATGCGATTTTTGGTATTTGAACAGGATTTAAAAGGATGAAAAATAGATGTTGGTTGATTCTCAGACCTATGCAATACGCTCACAAAATTTCATGAGAATCGGTATAGCCGTTTCGGAGGAGTAAGGTAACACAAACTGTGACTCTAGAATTTTATATATTAGAAGACTAGATATTATAAAATTACAACATTTCTTAGGTAATCAAATAAAGACAAAATTGTGCGAATCCTACGTGACTTTGGATGTGATTTAATGATGGACGATCAAATAATTGTTACCGACCGAGGAGCTAATATAAAAGCAGCTTTCAACGAACTGAGCACAATACACTGTGCAAATCACTTGATTCACAATGGGATTGGCAAACTTGTGAATGAAGTACCAGAATTGCTGGATCTGGTTAATCGCTGCAGCAAACTTGTTAAGTATTTTAAAAAATCTGGACAAAACTGGAACTTAACAAGCACCCTAAAAAGCTACTGTCCAACTCGTTGGAATACTATATTTAACCTCTTAAAGTCGGTTGAGTTATATTGGATGGAAATATCGCAGATTTTGGTTGATAAAAATGAAATTTCAAGAATTACAGATATAAATTTAATTAATATTAACGGAATAGTCAACCTTCTTGCACCTTTTGAATGTTGCTCCAAAAAGCTAGAGGGTAGCAATTATCCAACATTGCACTTGACTGTTCCACATATCAATAACTTAAAAAAAAAAAATATCCTTACCAAATAAAAATGATATAGAAATAGTAATAAAATGTAAACTAACGCTTTTAGAGTATTTAGATTCAATAGTTATAGAAAATTAAAAAAAATATCACATCATTGCCCTGTTTTTGTGTCCGCCCAATAATAAATTAACTAAATTCTCAGAATTAGAAAAGGTACAAACTTTTAAAGACGTAGAAGAAATGATGATTAATATTCATATAAATAGCCAAAATGATGACATTGAAAAATTAATTAAACCCACACAAGATATCGATAATATATTTGCAGATTATTCAGAACCTATTCATAGCACCAACATTTTCTCATACATTCAGGATTAACTTCAAACATATAAAAATGTAAATAAAGCGTACAGTCATGATTTCGATGTTCTGCAGTGGTCAATAAATAAGGACCGTTTTCCTCTGTTTTATCAAATTAGCTGCAAGATACTAGCAGCTCCTGCGAGCAGTGTAGCATCGGAGAGGGCATTTTCTGTTGCCAAAAATTTAATTTCTGAAAAACGGTCAAAAATTGCCACCACTGAAGACGTGGTAAACAAAATAATGTTCCTTCATTCCAATATTAATAACTTAAATATAGATTCCTTAGTAGTAAAATAATTACATATATTATCCTGATTTTACTTTGCCTTTTTCTTATTACAAGTAATTCGTTGAAAATTAAAAATAAAATTACTAGAAATCAATTACACGGGAAATTGAACTTATTCTTCGATTTGGGGTTCAAACTTGTTATTGCGAGAGAAATACAGTACAAATTATAAAACAAAAATTATCCATCCCAATTTTTAGGTAAACAAAGTGTTTATATTTGAAAAGTCAACCATATGTATGCATTACAGAGTGGCTCATTTTATTCGAAATTCAAACAGAAAAATGCTTTTACATTGCGTGTTTCATAACGCAAAACGATGGCTGCCAAGTTTTGCGAATCTTTCGATGACTTCTTCGGCGGTGATTTCGATGTCATGATGCGTATGAAGCAACGCTAATCCAACTAGAAGCATGGTCGTCCTAAGCCATGTTTTGATGCGGCGAATATAAGAGAAAGAACGTTCAGAGCTCGCGTTTGTTACGGGAAGTGTACAGAATACTCGAAGATAGGTGTGGATTGTTGGGAATATGTCGACATCACATTTTCTTAGTGTTTCCAGTGCAGAAGTTGGAATTTCGTTGCAACACACTCAATTGGTAACCATGCAAAACTTCTTGTGAAAAACGAGCTTCCAAATCTTCTTTGATAGTATCCAGCAGAGGCATGTAGGCAGAGACCCTGTAGTAATCTTAGCAAGTTTTTACGTCGTAATATTCGCGTTTCGTTTGTCGACCACATGTTCTCGGTTTTGCTTCATCAACATCGAATTTTTCCGCCATTTTTCTTGGCATCTGAATAAATCAGTCGGAATATTTCATCAACTTTTTCCCTCTTTTTTTTTCAACGTGGCAAGCAACGTCCCAATCATTTTTGATGCCTTCGCCAAATCAATTGCTTCCTTCTGAAGAACTACGCTGAGCGAATGGGTGAGCGATAGAATAGAATTTGGAAATGAGTTCTTGATTAGAGGTGGAGAACTATCGATAGTCGGCGCCATCGATAGTCGACGATTGTTTTTCTCAAACCCTCGATAGTGTCGATAGTGCCATCAATAGTCACCGATACTATCGTCCGACATAAATTTTTTTTTTTTAAGTTTTCAAGAATATTCTATTTTAACTAAAAGTTTTGATTTAAAAATAAGAGTGTGTTAACATTTTCCTCTTTGAGCCGGGTGCGCTTCTCAGAAACAATTTGCCCTGCCTTGCTGAATGCTCTTTCAGATTCTACGGATGTAGCAGGAATGCAAAGGTATTTCCAAACATGCGAAATCTTACTCCTTTTGAGTTACTCTGCTTATTGGGTAAGAAATCCTTTTCGGAGTCTGTGCTGGTGCAATCGCATTCTTGCTTTTCTGGACTTGGCGCAGTAGGCGTTGCGGACCTCCGACGTGTACCTTAAATTCGCCACTTTATCCATCAAAATACAGTAGAATCCGCTTATAGCGACTTTCAAGGGACCGACGATTTTTCGTCGTTATACCCGGAAGACGCACTAAGCAGAAGGATTTAAGTGAATAAGTCTGTATAGGGACCAATCAAGCCATGGAGTTTTCGTCGCAAAAACCGGACGGACGCTATAAGCGGAGTCGTTATATCAGGATTCTACTGTACTTATGTAGAATACATTAAACATACCTTTTTTTTAAGCGATTCATATTTATTAGTTCCTTTTTTAGTTTCCGTCAATTTTCCACAAAAATTTTCAATTTTTACAATAGCGAATGCTGAAATTATTTTAGCGATGTGAAACGCCTGCTATCGGAGGCACCATCGATAGTGGTTGGGTCACTATAGAAGGTGTCCGACACAATCGATTGCGGCTCGATAGTGGCCAACCATCGATAGTGTCGATAGTGCCATCGATAGTTCTCCACCTCTATTCTTGATAGAGCTGGGAAAACATCGGTTTTTAGCAAATTCGATATTTACGAGGTTTTTGAAACAAATATTCGATAATATCGATAGTATCGTTCTAAAAAAATCATAAATCAAGTTTAAATTGCATTTAGAGTAAATAATAAAAAAAACTTCTTAAAGGCCATTATTTATTCGAATAACAAAAGACAACACATATTTACACGCTTATACTAAAAGAAAAACTGAAATATTTCACAAAAGTTTCTTATGAATAGGTTAATAGTTCAATGCTATTCATTTAAGTTTTCTATTGAAAAGTTTGAGATCCACATAATTTTATTGAGAAAGGATAATATATCCACGTTTTTGGCTTTCAATGATGCTCTCCTGGCAGAAATAATTTGTCCCGTTGTCTAAAAATCCTCTCAGACTCAGTCGATGATGCTTGAACACAAAAAAGGCGTGCAGCTGTAGTTTTAAGAAGAGAATCATCTGAAGCGCACTGAAAAAAAAAAATAATGAGATCAAATTAAAATTTAGATTTATAAAGACATTACCTTCCAAAACTCCAATGGGTCAGTTTTCTAAGGTTTATGTGCCGCTCGCATGTACTGCTGTAGTTCGACAATGGCATCAACACGGTTTGTCCTCCCCATTGTAGAAATACTTTGAGTTATAAATTCAAAAAGTGGCTGCTGGCAGTCTGATTCATTTTCTATTGGTGTTGGCGGATCCAATGGCAAAACTTTCTTTAAGGCAGCTAACTCGTTTTCTAAGGCATGAAGGCCGTCATCAGCGTTAAAAGGTGAACGAAACCCTTGCTTTTTAAATCTTGGATCAAGTAGTGTTAACATTCTTGGAAAGGTGCGAATACGACAAAAGTCGTATTTTTACCTGCTCAACCAAAAAATTTTGAGCCTCAATGCCTTCAAATGAATTTAATTTCAATTTTTAGCTGTCTAAAGTGTGCAATAATCCACAAACAATTGGCACTATCAGCGATGCTGTAACTGAAGTACTGGAAGATACCTGTTTTGTAGCGTTGTCAAATGGAGATAGTAACAGGATAATATCTTTCATTATTGCGACTTCGTCCGCAGTGAACGGTGTTGGTGCTTTAGACGTACTTAAAAGAACCTTCGTGATGGCCTCATTTGAAAGAAGTATTCTTTCTATCATGTGACACGCACTGTTCCACCTTGTGGGCACTTCTTGTATCAAGCTGTATTTAACGTCCGTTTCTTGCGATGCTTTAAACTTACTTAGTGCAATTGAGCTGCTTTTAAAGTAAGTGACAGTTCGCTTGCATTTAAGTAAAATATCTTGTAAGCAATCGATCGCCAAACAGCTTTGCACAACCAGGTTTATGGTGTGAGCAACACAGGGTAGATGCCTTTTTTGTAAATACTCACAAGCTTTGATCATAGAGTTTGCGTTGTCAGTTGTAATAGCTGCTATTTTGTCAAAAATTTTCCATTCGTGAAAAATGCCACGCATTGAAGAAGCAATGTTTAGAGCCGAATGATTGGAGTCATCCAATAACGGCTTTGTTGCCAATACAACTGAGCGCAAAACGAAATCTTTTGTTATGAAGTGGCAAGTGGCAGTAATATAGGACTGGTTGGCTTTTGAAGTCCAAAGGTCTGCAGTAATTGCGCAACTGTTAACGCGGTCCAATATTGTAAAAAGCTTTGTTTTCAGGTCTTCTTATATATTCTTCATGTATACGTGTTGTAGAGTCTTTCGCGAAGGAAGTGTGTATCGTGGATCAAGAACTCTAACAAACTCGCGAAATCCGGAATCCTCCACTATTGAAAAAGGTTGCATATCTTCCGCCACAAGAACAGCCAAAGCATTGTCAATAATTTTTTTACGTGACGAAACACGATAATACTGGTTAAACAAAAAGGGTACAATCGTATTCGCGCCCTTTTGTTGCTCTTCCATAGAAATTCCCGGGTGGAGCCGTTTCATGTGGTCAAACAAATTGGACGTGTTTCCGCTCGTTCTGTATATTCTATTGCAGTGCATGCAAGTGGCTGTCTTGCCATCTTGAGACCTTTTGAAGTGATTCCACACTTTCGACTTACCCATTCTTTTCACTGGGTTTTCGCCCCCCTCCAAATTGCTCTTTACACTTTTGCCTATAAGAAGTTGTATATTAGAAATTAGATATTGAACTAGAGTGCAAGGCATGCATATCTAATGCAATAGTTTAGATACCTACCTTTATCGCTTCCGCCTTGTAAAAATTTTTCCATTTTCTCCGCCAACACCAATATTACCATCCACGTGTAGTTGTTCGCCAAAAGTAAAGATGTGCAAACTTTTTTTTCACTTGCAACTATCGTTTACCATCGACACTGAATATCGATATTGGTTCGGAAACCCAAATACTCGATATATCGAAAATAATTTGAGTGGTCGACCCAGCTCTAGTTCTTGAAGAATTTGTCGACTTCTGGTATGGCACTGGCAACGTTTTCGATTAATCGTACTTTCACTGACTTTGAAATACTGTTGTTGAGTTTGTGCGAGAAGGGGGGGAAGGGGAATTAGGGAAATTAATTTAAAAAATTGATGGCAAGTCCTATATAAATAAACGCAAACACAAAAATAATATAAACACATGAATAAAAATTAAAAATATAATTTACATACCAACTAGTTTTGTCACGCTAAGGTTTGTTGACTCATCTATTAGCAGACTGAATGAAGAATCACCTCCTTACGTAGCTCCTCATTGAAATGAACTTGTAAAACATTAGAAATAATGCTAGTGCATTTAGTGCGGACCAGTTTAATATATGCAGCTGCAAAGCACTCTTTAAACTTTCGCACGCATAATTGGTTGAGGTGGTCTATTGGGGCTATAGATGTGTGTTCCGCAACATATAATGATAATGCTGCTTCCTGCTCCGATGTTTTAGTGGGCCCGCTGAAAACTGGAGTTGAAAGCTGCCGCTCATTAGAAATTGTTTTTTTTTTTGTATTTGCATGCGACTTGATGTCATGCAGCTTCGCGCCAAAACTGCATCTGCAATATGCCTTCGTTGTATCTGTCACATCTTTGCGTATCCAATCCTTAAACTCTTCATTCTGCAACCACGCGTCGCGAAAATGTTGTTTATAGATAACATTCGGCATTATTTAACATGTCTTTTGAAATATTTTCAACAGCTTCTTCACCGTTTAACAATTTTACAATTTGTATCTAGCTCATGAGTGAACGAACTAAGTTCGCACATGAACTATAAACAGAATCGATTGGGGTTTCTCGCTCGTAGCCTCCAAAAAACCACTGCCCCTCGATGACGCGCCCGCGGTTATATTTTCTTTTCCCTACCTTAGACTCGTCTATCTCGACAATCATACCCGGATCACCAAGTTTGCCGCAATCGACCCGAGTAGCCCAATCTAAGTATACCTCTCGCAAATAACTGCCCCAATCAACGACTGTTCTTCTACTCCACCCGAGTCCCTTCTCGCAAGTTTCTGTAAAAGATTTAACACCCAAAATTTCGAGCAACACAAAATGGCACACGGAAGTAATCGAAACGTGTGAGTTTTCGAAAAATGTGTTGCTCTTTATGCTAACTTTGAAGTTGCAGCGTTTACGAATCTTTTTCTTATTTTTTACTACGTAATTCACCTTCTGACAGCTAAAAAAAACTGCGGGCGAGAAGGATCGCGATCCTCGCAGATGAGCTGGCATGGAGAACTGCAGTTCGGGCAAATTTTTTCACTGAGAATTACCCCATACTCCATTAGAAATTGTAGTAAATTTTCATCATTCATCGACATAACCGTTATAATATTGGTAGTGCATCCTGCACAACGGTTTATCGTGACTTCTTAAATAAAAATATACAAAGTGAAAATTTTGCACCGATTTTTTTTGTTATTAACAATTAAAGATGCGAGTGTTACGACAAATTCGAGCCCTCGTATTCACAATTATCGGTTAGTGATGTACCGATTAATACTGTCGTCTGGTATCTGCGATTTACCATATAATTGCAATGGCTGGTCACATCTTCACAACACCGCCAAATGTTCGTTGTTACAAACTTGCAGCAGGTTAGTTCAAAATGACAAAATTCTCGGAAAACTTTTCCGAGTTAACAATTTTTGTTTAACAAATATTTATTGTTCATTTTTAACAGGGTTTTCTTGGTCCCATCTACACAATACCGCCAAATGTTTGTTCTCAAAAAATTCGAAGCAGATTATTTTAAAATAACAAAATTCTCGGAAAACTATTCCGATCTAACAATTTTTGTTTAACAAATATTTATTGTTCATGTTTTAACAGTGTTTTACGTATTTTTCCTTTTTATAATTAATCTCTATAACATGTATTATGAAAAAAGAAAATTATAAATAGCAAATATATATTGTTCTTGATTAACTGCTGCAGGAAAATGTTTTATTTTTTACCGCTATAACATGTACATATGTATATTTTTATATAAGGGGTCACGATAAACCGTTGTGCAGGATGCACTACCAACATAATAACGGTTATGTGGAAGAATGACGAAAATTTACTACAGTTTCTGATGGAGCATGGGGTAATTCTCAGTGAAAAAATTTGCCCGAACTGCAGTTCTCCATGCCAGCTCATCTGCGAGGATCGCGATCCTTCTCGCCCGCGGTTTTCAGAAGTAATTCAGAAGGTGAATTACGTAGTAAAAAATAAGAAAAAGATTCGTAAACGCTGCAACTTCAAAGTTAGCATAAAGAGCAACACATTTTTCGAAAACTCACACGTTTCGATTACTTCCGTGTGCCATTTTGTGTTGCTCGAAATTTTGGGTGTTTTACAGAAACTTGCGAGAAGGAACTCGGGTGGAGTAGAAGAAAAGTCGTTGATTGGGGCAGTTATTTGCGCGAGGTATACTTAGATTGGGCTACTCGGGTCGATTGCGGCAAACTTGGTGGTCCGGGTATGATTGTCGAGATAGACGAGTCTAAGGTAGGGAAAAGAAAATATAATCGCGGGCGCTTGGAAATCGTACAATTGCCTCAAAGATGAGGGTTATCGCCACCTTACGGTCAACCACTCAATCAATTTTGTTGATCCCGATACAAAGGCAAACACCCAAAGCATTGAACGGTTATGGCGCGACCTTAAAGATTGGATACCCCAATACGGCAGGAAAGAGGAACATTATCCTGGGTATTTGGCGCGCTTCATGATTAAAAAATATTATCCCGACCACTAGGGTTGTTGATAATATATCAAAATATATATATATCGATATTTTTTCTAAAAATGATATATTTATATCGTGATAAATTTTTTTGCCCAAATATCGAAATCATGATATTTTTTTTATATTTTTTTTTATTTTTTCCTTGGTCACTCTAAATTCAAAGCGTCGATTGAAAGATTGAAAGAAGAATAAAGGGAAATATGAATGTTAAATCTAATTACACAAACATAACAGGCGGCACCCGTTGGAGGTGTGGAAATACCATAGGGCGACCATGCCGGGCCTTTGCAAGGTGGCCATGCGACATCTTATCACTCCAGGCAGCTCGGTGCCTTCAGAGCGGTTGGCATCCGCAATAAAATGTGTAGTTTGCGATGCTAGGAGCCGAATGACGGACATACACGTAAAGCATAGAGTGTTTTTAAAATCTTTAAATTCTGCCAATTGGGCTCGATGTTACAGTCGGATACATATAAGACATAAGACATGTATATAAACAGTAGAATCCGCTTATAGCGACTTTCAAGGGACCGACTATTTTTCGTCGTTATACCCGGAAGACGCACTAAGCAGAAGGATTTAAGTGTATAAAAAACTAATAAAATTAATGGATATAAATTGATGACGTCGTTGTTTTTTATCCCAAGAGCATGTTTTTTGAATATCAAGTTTTTTAACAACTCTTATATTGAGAAATAAGTTTCATAAAAATCGGGCAACTATGTATATCTTAAAGCTGCCATAGGAAAGATCGAAAAATCTATATAGAAACTAGCTGACCCGGCAAACGTTGTTTTGCCACCAGATGACTTTATAATTTCTGTACAAAAATTGCTCAGTTCTAGACTTACATATGTATTTATGTATGTATGTTTAAGTTATTATAATTGCGTCTGGAATAAAATGAATCCAGGTTATTATAATCACAACGTGCATTCACGCGATTGGCAAGTGCACTTCCGGAATCCTCTCCGCCCATAAAGTAAATTTGTAAGAATTTATGTTGTTCATTTGGCATTGGCAGCAGTGAGCTCATTTAATGATAAACTTGGCCTCTAATTTTGAATGTAGAATTGTAATTTTGACCATTTGCATTAGTATTTCGAACTATTTCTGTTGCTTCGAACGATGTCATTTGAAAGCATGAATTAAATGTTCGAATTGACTTCAGGAACACGTTAGAATCTGGATCCGTGCCGATAAGTAAGCCGTTCAATGGTTCAGGTGGTGTTTCAATTTCTGGTAGTTGCACTTTTCCTGACGCGCAACACATCCCAGCTGGCTAACTTTTAAATTTCAGAGCATGACAATGCGGACATTCCTTGTCCATAGCACCAATTACCACTTTTGAGTGAGCATAATACTCAATATCGGGCTCATACTGGAATGCTAGACGCAGTAATGAATCATATATAAATGCTCGATGTACCTGTTGTCGTTAATAGTCATTTGTTCTGCCTCTATTGACTGTGACCCACGCCGTTGTCGTTGTTCTAATCTTCTGACTTCATTGCGTTCAGTTCGTGTAACTTCTGGCTCTTCTCTGACTTCATTGCGTTCAGCTCGTGTATCTTCTGGCTCTTCTTGATGCAATTGCGCTATTCTTTCGGATCTTCTATTTCGCATGTATCGAGATCTACTTGTATCACGGCTCAAAGTACCCGCTTTGCGTTTTCTTGTTATAGCTCACTGTACAGAACACTCATAAATAGAATTAATGATTTTACTTAACGATGAAGGATTTTTTCCCCAGTTTAAATTGATTTAAAATGCTATGGTATCGTGTTTTTGTCAGTGTGATAAGGTAGAAACTCACTTTATATGCGATTTTTGGTATGTCGAACACAATTTAAGAGGATGAAAAAAAAAACGTTGGGTAATTGTCAGACTTAGTCAATACGCTCACAAAATTTCATGAGAATCGGTATAGCCGTTCCGGAGGAGTAAGGTCACAAAAACTGTGACACGAGAATTTTATATATTAGATAACGGAAATAAAATTATAGCATCGTTGTTTTTCATCAGATATAGAGTTTTCTTACGACTCTTGACTTACGAATTAATTTTG